TACTGCGCGGCTGTTTTCATGTCACGCCTCACCGCCACCGGGACTTGTCAGCTGAGATCTCCCTTGTTGACGCGATCCGACCCTCCGCCCAGGAATCTGTCAACACCCGGGTACAGCGGGTATATCGTCTAGGAATCTGTCAACACGTCGTCCACAGCGGGTATATCGTTCAGGAATCTGTCAACACCCGGGTACAGCGGGTATATCGTCCAGGAATCACATCACCTGAGTATCTAATCATGAAGCATTCTCCAGTGTCTGTATCCGGGTCTCAGATATGAGCACTGCAACACAATTCCTGTTGATGTATGTCTATAGATCTCATCCCGCAGTGAGACTCGCCTGAGGGAACACACTACATCTGTTTAATCAACCTGTATGTCGGGTTTCTTCAGTTCTGACAGGAATAGCTGATGTGATCGACATGATTAGTGATCAATAGGCTGTTTGTTATCATTATAACGAAATCGTTGATACATCTGTTGTGACGGGAGAATGCGACAAAAGAAAGTAGTATTTCGGACTGGGATTCCGAACCATGGACGTCCGTTGTGTCTCCCACACCTCTGTATAGGTCAACAACAACAATAACGTGGTCAGTGGCCTGGTTTGGGAGAATGTTGATGACTTTATATCGTACCTCATTATAACGCGGCTATTAATGTTATCCAAATATTTGGCCTATGCCTACCGACCCGTCTGCGAACGATAAGTGGTTGTTTTGTTGGCCATGTGTTTGAACACAGAAGGGTTCAGAGTGATATTTGATCCGGGGCGTTATAGCGAGGTAAATGGTTCGGGTGACACTGTTATTACAATCCTGATGACAGTCGTCTCTCCGCCCGTTGTCAAGGTAAACAATGGGCCTGGGAGTTGGGCTGGATTGAAACAGGTCCGACAAGACAGACAGCTGACCGACCGTGACTTTATTACAGTGTGCTCCACTTGACGCAGGGTGCTCTTCGGGTAGAACGTACAACGGCAGACATGAATGGCAGTTCTCTTTACGAGTACCGAGTCGCGTGTGGGGGCACAATACCACTCAATGTATTCATCACGTATTCTGTGACTCCGCACTGGTATGTGGGCTGGTGTTATATTTGTCACGACACGACGTTCAATACGTCACAGTCAGTAATTTATTTATTTTGATGACGATGCTAGTTGTACAAATAACCCCTTCTTTTGAGCAGTCGTCGTTAGCTAAGTCCTCTCTGTGAATCGAAAGCCCCAAGGCATATTCAATAAACTTTGCTGGGGCGTCCCTTACGTGCAGGATAAAACACGTCAGAGGGTTTTTATGAGATTTAAAACCCGAATCCAAGAGATAAACCCGAGGAGCGTCAGCTCCGACTTTTTATCCCCAGGATGAGGGTTCTAAATTTCATAATAATGGTCAGTATTCTAACTTATAAAGCGAAAAAAGATATTTAAACATTTATCAAGAGTATTATGTTTCAACCATATATGCAGTTTCTGTGAATCTTAGGAAACCGGCGTAAAATATCTGTTGCTGGCGTACGGATACTTCAAAAGGACATTGTGATTTATCAGCGCTTCTGTAGCCTTGTGATACACTCACTGGGCTACAGATACGAAAGTTGCATGTTCGATCCGCAGGAATATAAAGAAAACATTGGTCATTTGATTTTACATTTCATTGCTTTGTTTGTCAAATGCAAAATAAATTTCTAGCCAGAATCTTTCATATGTTACAATTAAACGGAAGTTGTATTGATAAAATCCCAGTGATATCAAAACATCCCCGTCTATAAGATTTAACCCCACAGGAGGACAATTGAATGACGTCACTGGAGGTTTATATGGGTTTTGAACAGGAGGTGGTAAACCTCACACAGTAAGTTCCTCAGTCCCTGCTGGTCGTTGCCTGTGACGTCAACACAGCGTTACAGCTATAAAAGTGAGGTGAGGTGAAAGGGGTTTAACGTCGCGTCAAGGATTATTGCAGTTACATAGCGACGTGCATGTGTGTGTGTGTGGCTGCTTGTACTAGTCAAGACTGATGCCCATTTAATAGTGCTAGCCCACAGAGATGCCATGCCACAGTTTAACATGAATACCACAATCAGACACAGTATACTGACTCCGAGCCGACTAGTCCTTGTTTTAGTCCCTTAATGCCGAGCTATGAAGGGGGTACATTGGGAGGTATGCATTCCTCTACGGTCTACAGGATACTGATGACGACTGCATTGACGACATCAACGTGTGACCATGTCTGTGACAACACCTGTATACATGCCAGGTGACACGCAGCGTTTCAAATAACTGTTGATGTATATGCGCATGCGTGTAGTCATGACACCAGGTGTTCGCGAGAAGGGTAAGCATGTCCTTCCCTACCGGTAGCGCAACTTGTACTTCTACCATGCGATGGCGGCCTGTACGCAAACCAGACAAGCAAGTGATGGACCCGAAATCCAGTCACAGTGTGTGTGGAGTATGTGTGTGGGGGTTTGTTGATTGTGCCTCCATCTCCGACTGCTGCTGATGTTGTTCTGGAGAAAGGTTGCACCGAGGATGTAACAGTTGTCTTATTAATCAAACACACATGAGCTTGTTACTGGACCAGTGAGTATTGCTTAACGCATCAACTATCTTTGAGCTATTCGCGGCGATGGAAGATAGTCGTTTGTCGTCTCCTACACTATAGGGACTCTATATAGCTCAGGACCAAGTTCATCCATATACAGTAAAATGTATAATGTTTGTTTCTCCACAATCAGCTCACAACTCACCAGCCACGACTCACAACTCACAACCCACTACTCATAACTAACAACCAATGACTCACAGTTAAAATAACTCGACTTACAGCCAACAACTCTTGACTGACTGTGGAATATTCACAGTCGAGGGTTCGCTCGTGCCAGGCTGCTCTTACCTGGACTATTTGAACCCATTATCTTTTATCTTCTGATGCTGTAACGACTGCCTTTGTGTTGGACATAATTGTAACAATAACCGTAAACTGAAGCATTATTTAATAATTGTGTGTGTCTTCCTGCTGTAAGATGCATCCAGTTCTGCGGCAATAACACATTCAGATCGATGAACAAAACACAGAAGAAGAAAAATATTGTCTTAAAGTGTTACCCGCTGTTCAGAAATAAAAAATCACAGAATCAGAGCGGCTTGCCACTATTGGCCTGTGACGGCTATGAGACACCCACACCTTACACATCAATTCACATAATTTTTAAAAAGAGCATGAGGTTCATAAAACTTCACAATAGGTAAGTAACGAAAGAAAACCCACTTTATATTCGCCCTTACTCACCCCACCCCAGCAAACACAGTTAGGGTTAGGGTTAGGTTAGGTTAGGGTTAGGGTTAGGGTTAGGGTTAGCAAACACAGCTTGCTGCATGAATGTAGAACCATTCACACCAACATCCACACACGCACCTGCTCACCCTACACAGCTTGCTGCATGAATGTAGAACCATTCACACCATCATCCACACGCGCACCTGCTCACCCTACACAGCTTGCTGCATGAATGTAGAACCATCACACCAACATCCACACACGCACCTGCTCACCCTACACAGCTTGCTGCATGAATGTAGAACCATCACACCAACATCCACACACGCACCTGCTCACACCGACCCATACACTGCATAGAACACATTACACAAATACAAGCTTACACACAACTAACTACAAAACAAAACATTATAACTGCACAACTCTACCTCCCATGATTAAAACACAGCCATACACACAAACAAGCAATTTAAATATATCCCAACCATACAATACAACATGACACATCAATGCTGGAACTAAACATACTTTTGTTCATTACATGTGATTGAAAATGATAGGTAAGATCACGTATATACCACTATTTGCTAATTTTGAAATAAATAGTAAAACGATACATATATACATATATTTTGAGTATTGCATAATTTACAAATACGGTCAGAAACAGGTGTTTTCGGGCGTGTATAAGGGCATTTTTCTAGTACTTAAGGCAAGGTACCACGACGAGGTTTAGATATTGTACTTCGTCGCGATCTTTCCAAGATATTGGGTGCATAAAATAAACGTTCAGAATACTTTTGAATAATCTGAAAGTGTTTAATTTATTACCGTTAATGATGCCTGAGTCGTTCAAAATTCTATCTTTATGGGGGGCAGGATTCAATTTCTTCAAGAAACGTACAACTTCTATTTTTTTGTTTTGTAATATATGACCCTCCACCCATTTCACCTCTTATGACCAAAGTAGGAGTAGTTCTCCCAACACCCCAACACACCCGACAGTCTCTGTTTTAGATGGGATTTATGCAACTGTTTTCTCTATTACCCCAATTTACGCATTTCATATAAAGTATCACCCCAACTTGCAGATCCATACCTTAAGCTGGTTCGTACAAGATTATCATATAAAGTATTACCCCAAATTGCAGGTCCATCCCTTGAGGTGGTTTGTACAAGATTATCATATAAAGTATTACCCCAAATTGCAGAGCCATACGTTAATATGGTTTGTACAAGATTATCATGTAAAGTATTAAAAGCAACAAAGAACATTCCGCCGACGGATTTAAATTTACTTATTATAACATTGGGGGCTCTTCCAGCTGACTTGGCAATTTCTCTAGCAGGGAACTGCAGATCTAGATGTTCCTGCTGCCATAGTCCAAGATATTTATAAGCATTAAAAATCTCAATATTGTATCCCCCGCAAACAAAACATACACTAGAGCGTTTAACCGATTGTGGTCTATAATGATTTATTTTAGATTTATTAGGATTAATCATCTCCTACATCAATTGTCCACACAATTCAACATTAACTGTTACCCGTAACATTGATAACGAAATCTAAATCGTTAATTCCTCGGAAAATAATGTCGGTGACAACACACAACCCTGCTTCGTTCTACTGATCACCACACCGTGTACATGCACAACATCTACACCGAGGGTCAGGGCAAGTCTCACACCGGGGTGGATGCCCAGGTAGAATAACGCCTCAGTTTAGTGCTTGTTGTAGTTGTCCGTTGATGACTTGTGTTCAATGTGTGACCTGATGTTTGTTGTAGGTGTCTGAGGATGACTTGCGTTCAATGTGTGACCTGATGTTTGTTGTAGTTGTCCGTTGATGATCTGTGTTCAATGTGTGACCTGATGTTAGTTGTAGGTGTCTGAGGATGACTTGCGTTCAATGTGTGATCTGACAAACGTCATCGTATCAGACGGCCTGGGTAATTACTCATACAATTCTCCACTGATGTACTGGCCGCCCTGATATAGGTTGGCAATTGCTGGCACTCACTCGCGATTACACAGTGTCCTCAGATCTCACTGTAGTCACAGAACTGTCACGTAAAACAACATGCACTCACTCGCGATTACACAGTGTCCTCAGCTCTCACTGTAGTCTCAGAACTGTCACGTAAAACAACATGCACTCACTCGCGATTACACAGTGTCCTCCGCTCTCACTGTAGTCACAGAACTGTCACGTAAAACAACATGCACTCACTCGCGATTACACAGTGTCCTCAGCTCTCACTGTAGTCTCAGAACTGTCACGTAAAACAACATGCACTCACTCGCGATTACACAGTGTCCTCAGCTCTCACTGTAGTCACAGAACTGTTACGTAAAACAACATGCACTCACTCCCGATTACACAGTGTCCTCAGCTCTCACTGTAGTCACAGAACTGTCACGTAAAACAACATGCACTCACTCGCGATTACACAGTGTCCTCAGATCTCACTGTAGTCACAGAACTGTCACGTAAAACAACATGCACTCACTCCCGATTACACAGTGTCCTCAGATCTCACTGTAGTCACAGAACTGTCACGTAAAACAACATGCACTCACTCGCGATTACACAGTGTCCTCAGCTCTCACTGTAGTCTCAGAACTGTCACGTAAAACAACATGCACTCACTCGCGATTACACAGTGTCCTCAGATCTCACTGTAGTCACAGAACTGTCACGTAAAACAACATGCACTCACTCGCGATTACACAGTGTCCTCAGCTCTCACTGTAGTCTCAGAACTGTCACGTAAAACAACATGCACTCACTCGCGATTACACAGTGTCCTCAGCTCTCACTGTAGTCACAGAACTGTCACGTAAAACAACATGCACTCACTCGCGATTACACAGTGTCCTCAGCTCTCACTGTAGTCTCAGAACCTGCATCACTGTACACGTGCAGCTTCCCGTACTCGTGATCCTGGTTTGTGTAGGGACTGAGTCCGGTGTAGATGGCCGTGGGACTCACTGTGCCTCCTTCACCACTGGCGGGAACAGAGGACTCGATGTGGTCAAGCGATTCCGTCACGTGATTATAATGTGTGTAGGTAGGCTCCTCGTTGGTCTGACCTGGTGATGCTGCAGTATTTCTGGAAGGTTTCATTACTTTGCTGAAATGAAAGTCAAATTCCTTGTAAGGTGCAGAGAAGAGAAAATATAGTCCCGTTTGAATTCGATTGAATTAATTAAACAAATGACTTCACTCAGGCACTTATAACAAAGCTAGAGCGTACTGTTTTACTGTACTATAGGCCTGCTACATTGGCGAGAATGGCTAAAGTACTTACATGTAGAGGATCAGTGTGACAACAATGACCAGTAGAACCACGATGACCACGCCACAAACACTGGACACAACCGTCAAAACATTGTCATCGTCACCATATTCTACGTCAGAAAACAAAACCCGTCAATGCCATGCCAAGAAAATATTCATAACAAATGTGCACGAAAGTTCAGACTTAACAAAATACACCAACATATTTTCTACTTTTCGTTCATTATGTGAGTGAGTGAGTGAGTATGGTTTTACGCCGCTTTTAGCAATATTCCAGCAATATCACGGCGGGGGACACCAGAAATGGGCTTCACACATTGTACCCATGTCGGGAATCGAACCCGGGTCTTCGGCGTGACGAGCGAACGCATTAACCACTAGGCTACCCGACCGCCCCTTCGGTCATTATGTACTTATCGATGGTACTTACAACTGAGCCACAGTACCTTCCATCCTATGTACCTCAGTACCTTCCATCCAATGTACCACAGTACTTCCCATCCAATGTACCACAGTACCTTCCATCCAATACACCACAGTACCTCCCATCCATTACACCTCAGTACCTTCCATCCAATGTACCTCAGTTCCTTCCATCCAATGTACCACAGTACTTCCCATCCAATGTACCACAGTACCTTCCATCCAATACACCACATTACCTCCCATCCAATACACCTCAGTACCTTCCATCCAATTAACCTCAGTACCTTCCATCCAATGTACCACAGTACCTTCCATCCAATGTACCACAGTACCTTCCATCCAATACACCACAGTACCTTCCATACAATACACCTCAGTACCTTCCATCCAATGTACCACAGTACCTTCCATGCACAACAGTACCTTCCATCCAATGTACCACAGTACCTTCCATCCAATGCACCATAGTACCTTCCATCCAATGCACAACAGTACCTTCCATCCAATGTACCACCTCTCATCCAATGTACCACAGTACCTTCCATCCAATGCACCACAGTACCTTCCATCAAATACACCACAGTACCTCTCATCCAATACACCTCACTACCTTCCATCCAATGTACCACCTTCCATCCAATGTACAACAGTACCTTCCATCCAATGCACCACAGTACCTTGCATCCAATGTACCACAGTACCTTCCATCTAATGTACCACAGTACCTTCCATCCAATACACCACAGTACCTTCCATCCACTATACCACAGTACCTTCCATCCAATGTACCACAGTACCTTCCATCCAATACACCACAGTACCTTCCATCCACTATACCACAGTACCTTCCATCCAATGTACCACAGTACGTTCCATCCACTATACCACAGTACCTTCCATCCACTATACCACAGTACCTTCCATCCAATTTACCACCGTACCTTCCATCCAATGTACCACAGTACCTTCCATCCAATGTACCACAGTACCTTCCATCCACTATACCAAAGTATCTTCCATCCAATGTACCACAGTACCTTCCATCCACGATACCACAGTACCTTCCATCCAATGTACCACAGTACCTTCCATCCAATACACCACAGTACCTTCCATCCACTATACCACAGTACCTTCCATCCAATGTACCACCTTCCATCCAATACACCACAGTACCTTCCATCCAATGTACCACAGTACCTTCCATCCAATACACCACAGTACCTTCCATCCACTATACCATAGTACCTTCCATCCAATGTACCACAGTACCTTCCATCCACTATACCACAGTACCTTCCATCCAATGTACCACCTTCCATCCAATACACCACAGTTCCTTCCATCCAATGCACCGCAGTGCCTTCCATCCAATGTACCACAGTACCTTCCATCCAATATACCACCTTCCATCCACTATACCACAGTACCTTCCATCCAATGTACCACCTTCCATCCAATACACCACAGTACCTTCCATCCAATGTACCACAGTACCTTCCATCCAATACACCACAGTACCTTCCATCCACTATACCATAGTACCTTCCATCCAATGTACCACAGTACCTTCCATCCACTATACAACAGTACCTTCCATCCAATGTACCACCTTCCATCCAATACACCACAGTTCCTTCCATCCAATGCACCGCAGTGCCTTCCATCCAATGTATCACAGTACCTTCCATCCAATATACCACCTTCCATCCACTGTGCCACAGTATCTTCCATCCAATGTACCACCTTCCATCCAATACACCACATTACCTTCCATCCAATGCACCACAGTACCTTCCATCCAATGTACCACAGTACCTTCCATCCAATATACCACCTTCCATCCAATGTACCACCTTCCATCCAATGTACCACCTTCCATCCAATGTACCACCTTCCATCCAATATACCACAGTACCGACGAAACCAGTTCCATCATGATAAGAAACCTCTACTTAATGTAGAATCCATTATTCGTCTGTTCCGGCTATATCTTAAGCGGTGAGGAGTCACTATCAAATAGTGATGATACCAGGTTTTCGCGAAACCACGGCCAGGTGTCTGTGCCTGTCGGCATGACGTACGGTGTAAGTTACTGACTGGACCATGTAGCAACTGTATGATGACGATTGATCATTAGAACGTTATTGTACTGTACACGGCGTATGTCACCTGGCAAGGGAACCTCGTTTCCTCTACCGTGATAAAAACATCTGATTTATTATTACTGAATGATCTAGTCAGTGAAACGTCAGATAATGTGGAGTAGGGTTGCCAAGGTAACAACCCAGCTACTTCCCTCTGAGTCAGGATATAGTTACACGCTTGTCTGACAATAACAAACAGAATGATGTATCAAGATCGCGGGTTTCTATACAAAACAAAACGGACCAAAGACGTTTTAAATCAAAACGTGACAACAATAGTCAGTTATTGTACAGACATATCCCATTATAATTTTTTAATTGACGTTTACACGATATACGGCTTTTCAATTGACGTTCATAAGTTTATGAACGACACAATGTGACGTTCGTACGTTTTTCACGAGACCGTGTTCTTGAAATGACGTAAACACTGACGGACTACTTCCACATTCCCGGGGAAACCCCCGGGAATTCCCTCGCACGAAAACATACAGAAGCGTTCTTTCTGATAATTTAGACCCTTTAATCTTGAACTCAGGGTTTCAGTATGCATTGAGAAACGTCAGACTGCGTGATTGTTCACGAATATCATCCTAATGAACGGCCTCCCTAATGAACAAAAAGAAGAAATGCACATCGAAAACAATCATTGTATCGACTCGATCCGTGTCTAGGCTGACAGCGACAGTCTACAGCAATCTATGAATTTACCTTAGTGTATGTTTGACGCATCTTTAATAACCTTTCAATGATCGTCCAGTTAGCCAGTGATGACTGACACATGTAACCGCCACAGGTTCATTAACAACTTCCGAAATCTCTCCCGTCATGTTTATCGTATCGGCCATTTTGACGTCTTACTTGATGTAAATGTATTACGACGCGCTGTTATTGTGACTGAGTGGTAAGAGGTAGTTCTTAACAGACCTTTCTCATCTAATGAGGATATTGTTTGAGTACATTTGTTCTAAAGAAACTACAAAAGCTGTCCCTGTTGAGCATGTTGAGCATACATAAGTTCATGTCACCTCTCGATTTGAGGACTGGTTGTTGTATGGCTGTCAGTGTAAACATGAAGTCAACGTACTAAATAGAATTGTGTACAGATCAAGGTCTACGTCATTTGAGGTTATATAAAAAAATATAAGAACTGACTTTCACTTTGTTGCAAGCTCCGACATTCATACAGTTTGGACCTCACTCTCTTTCGGTTCATACTCCAATGAACTCACACAAAGTGAAAGTCAATTCTTAAATGACGTCTAACACAAGTGATAACCAGTAAACTGTGCATTGGTTAGAAAGGAATGAAATAAAGTGCAGCAAACAAAACAAGGGGAAAAGGTAAACACAAGCTGGTTGTGCCCATAATGTGCCTGGCGTGTTACTAGCAAGGGTACAGTTGTGTTAGATATACTTATCTTGTTGTCCCTCTCTGCTATCTGGCGAGCTACTAGCTACAGCTACAGTAGTGTTAGATATACTTACCTTGTTGTCCCTGTCCGCTATCTGGCGAGCTACTAGCCACAGCTACAGTTGTGTTAGATATACTCACCTGGTTGTCCCTGTCCGCTATCTGGCGAGCTTCTAGCTGCAGCTACAGTTGTGTTAGATATACTTACCTGGTTGTCCCTGTCCGCTATCTGGCGAGCTCCTAGCCACAGCTACAGTTGTGTTAGATATACCCACCTGGTTGTCCCTGTCCGCTATCTGGCGAGCTTCTAGCCACAGCTACAGTTGTGTTAGATATACTCACCTGGTTGTCCCTGTCCGCTATCTGGCGAGCTTCTAGCCACAGCTACAGTTGTGTTAGATATACTCACCTGGTTGTCCCTGTCCGCTATCTGGCGAGCTTCTAGCTGCAGCTACAGTTGTGTTAGATATACTTACCTTGTTGTCCCTGTCCGCTATCTGGCGAGCTACTAGCTACAGCTACAGTTGTGTTAGATATACTTACCTGGCTGTCCCTGTCCGCTATCTGGCGAGCTACTAGCTACAGCTACAGTAGTGTTAGATATACTCAGCTGGTTGTCCCTGTCCGCTATCTGGCGAGCTTCTAGCCACAGCTACAGTTGTGTTAGATATACCCACCTAGTTGTCCCTGTCCGCTATTTGGCGCGCTTCTAGCCACAGCTACAGTTGTGTTAGATATACTCAGCTGGTTGTCCCTGTCCGCTATCTGGCGAGCTTCTAGCCACAGCTACAGTTGTGTTAGATATACTTACCTGGTTGTCCCTGTCCGCTATCTGGCGAGCTTCTAGCTGCAGCTACAGTTGTGTTAGATATACTTACCTTGTTGTCCCTCTCTGCTATCTGGCGAGCTACTAGCTACAGCTACAGTAGTGTTAGATATACTTACCTGGTTGTCCCTGTCCGCTATCCGGCGAGCTACTAGCTACAGCTACAGTTGTGTTAGATATACTTACCTGGTTGTCCCTGTCCGCTATCTGGCGAGCTACTAGCTACAGCTACAGTAGTATTAGATATACTTACCTGGTTGTCCCTTTCCGCTATCTAGCGAGCTACTAGCTACAGCTACAGTTGTGTTAGATATACTTACCTGGTTGTCCCTGTCCGCTATCTGGCGAGCTTCTAGCCACAGCTACAGTTGTGTTAGATATACCCACCTAGTTGTCCCTGTCCGCTATTTGGCGCGCTTCTAGCCACAGCTACAGTTGTGTTAGATATACTCAGCTGGTTGTCCCTGTCCGCTATCTGGCGAGCTTCTAGCCACAGCTACAGTTGTGTTAGATATACTTACCTGGTTGTCCCTGTCCGCTATCTGGCGAGCTTCTAGCTGCAGCTACAGTTGTGTTAGATATACTTACCTTGTTGTCCCTCTCTGCTATCTGGCGAGCTACTAGCTACAGCTACGGTAGTGTTAGATATACTTACCTGGTTGTCCCTGTCCGCTATCCGGCGAGCTACTAGCTACAGCTACAGTTGTGTTAGATATACTTACCTGGTTGTCCCTGTCCGCTATCTGGCGAGCTACTAGCTACAGCTACAGTAGTATTAGATATTCTTACCTGGTTGTCCCCTTCCGCTATCTAGCGAGCTACTAGCTACAGCTACAGTTGTGTTAGATATACTTACCTTGTTGTCCCTCTCTGCTATCTGGCGAGCTACTAGCTACAGCTACAGTAGTGTTAGATATACTTACCTTGTTGTCCCTCTCTGCTATCTGGCGAGCTACTAGCCACAGCTACAGTAGTGTTAGATATACTCACCTGGTTGTCCCTGTCCGCTAGCAACAGCTACAGTAGTGTTAGATATACTCACCTGGTTGTCCCTTTCCGCTAGCCACAGCTACAGTAGTGTTAGATATACTCACCTGGTTGTCCCTGTCCGCTATTTGGCGAGCTTCTAGCCACAGCTACAGTTGTGTTAGATATACTCACCTGGTTGTCCCTGTCCGCTATCTGGCGAGCTACTAGCTACAGCTACAGTAGTGTTAGATATACTTACCTGGTTGTCCCTGTCCGCTATCTGGCGAGCTACTAGCTACAGCTACAGTAGTATTAGATATACTTACCTTGTTGTCCCTGTCCGCTATCTGGCGAGCTACTAGCTACAGCTACAGTTGTGTTAGATATACTTACCTTGTTGTCCCTCTCTGCTATCTGGCGAGCTACTAGCTACAGCTACAGTAGTGTTAGATATACTTACCTTGTTGTCCCTCTCTGCTATCTGGCGAGCTACTAGCCACAGCTACAGTAGTGTTAGATATACTCAGCTGGTTGTCCCTGTCCGCTAGCCACAGCTACAGTAGTTTTAGATATACTCACCTGGTTGTCCCTGTCCGCTATTTGTCGAGCTTCTAGCCACAGCTACAGTTGTGTTAGATATACTCACCTGGTTGTCCCTGTCCGCTATCTGGCGAGCTTCTAGCTGCAGCTACAGTTGTGTTAGATATACTTACCTGGTTGTCCCTGTCCGCTATCTGGCGAGCTCCTAGCCACAGCTACAGTTGTGTTAGATATACCCACCTGGTTGTCCCTGTCCGCTATCTGGCGAGCTTCTAGCCACAGCTACAGTTGTGTTAGATATACTCACCTGGTTGTCCCTGTCCGCTATCTGGCGAGCTTCTAGCCACAGCTACAGTTGTGTTAGATATACTCACCTGGTTGTCCCTGTCCGCTATCTGGCGAGCTTCTAGCTGCAGCTACAGTTGTGTTAGATATACTTACCTGGTTGTCCCTGTCCGCTATCTGGCGAGCTTCTAGCCACAGCTACAGTTGTGTTAGATATACCCACCTAGTTGTCCCTGTCCGCTATTTGGCGAGCTTCTAGCTGCAGCTACAGTTGTGTTAGATATACTCAGCTGGTTGTCCCTGTCCGCTATCTGGCGAGCTTCTAGCCACAGCTACTGTTGTGTTAGATATACTTACCTGGTTGTCCCTGTCCGCTATCTGGCGAGCTTCTAGCCACAGCTACAGTTGTGTTAGATATACTCACCTGGTTGTCCCTGTCCTCTATCTGGCGAGCTTCTAGCTGCAGCTACAGTTGTGTTAGATATACTTACCTGGTTGTCCCTGTCCGCTATCTGGCGAGCTTCTAGCCACAGCTAAAGTTGTGTTAGATATACCGACCTGGTTGTCCCTGTCCGCTATTTGGCGAGCTTCTAGCCACAGCTACAGTTGTGTTAGATATACTCACCTGGTTGTCCCTGTCCGCTATCTGGCGAGCTTCTAGCCACAGCTACAGTTGTGTTAGATATACTTACCTGGTTGTCCCTGCCCGCTATCTGGCGAGCTTCTAGCCACAGCTACAGTTGTGTTAGATATACTTACCTGGTTGTCCCTGTCCGCTATTTGGCGAGCTTCTAGCCACAGCTACAGTTGTGTTAGATATACTCACCTGGTTGTCCCTGTCCGCTATCTGGCGAGCTTCTAGCCACAGCTACAGTTGTGTTAGATATACTTACCTGGTTGTCCCTGTCCGCTATCTGGCGAGCTTCTAGCCACAGCTACAGTTGTGTTAGATATACTCACCTGGTTGTCCCTGTCCGCTATTTGGCGAGCTTCTAGCCACAGCTACAGTTGTGTTAGATATACTCACCTGGTTGTCCCTGTCCGCTATCTGGCGAGGTTCTAGCCACAGCTACAGTTGTGTTAGATATACTCACCTGGTTGTCCCTGTCCGCTATCTGGCGAGCTTCTAGCTGCAGCTACAGTTGTGTTAGATATAATCACCTGCTTGTCCCTGTCCGCTATCTTGCGAGCTTCTAGCTACAGCTATAGTTGTGTTAGATATACTCACCTGGTTGTCCCTGTCCGCTATCTGGCGAGCTTCTAGCCACAGCGACAGTTGTGTTAGAAGTTGAGAGGGAGGGGAACGAACCAGGGACAGAAGCTGAAACAAAAGCGACTGAGTAGAACTATCGCCATTCCTATGTATACCTTTTTTATACCTACAGAAAGGAAAACCAAGACAGTTCAGAAAGCTTCTTGTCGAACTCTTGTGACCCAGAACTGAATACTAACAAACAAAATTAGAGGGTAACTTATTGACAACGAAACAATAGTTGAAAAGATGCACTGTGTCAATGTGGCATATACGTTATGCAACACATTTTGCACACCATTCCCATTAAAGGTGTTAAACGAATCTACAGAAATCTACATGAAGCAGGTGCTACAAATGAACAATCGAACGTTACTAAATTTACCTACCTGTATCTGGAGTTGTGGTCGGGAGTGGACTGCCATTACATGTTACCTGTATTGTTGATGAACCTAAATAATAAGGCGAATGTTTTATGAATAAATCGGACCGAGAAAAACTTGTGTCTATATGTCAAACAATATAGACTATATGCGAACATTCATGTTGGATTCCATGTTAACACACTGCAAGTGATTCCATGGCAGTTGATTGACTAACCAAGTATTTTCATTATTTTGCACAAATAATTGCATATAAATCCTTATTTTGCGTTTATGTTCTCATAAATGCAATGAGAGAATAGCTGTCTACCTGTTCCTGTTTGGCTGATAATATGATGGGCTGAATTCGACGACAAAACGTTTTTCACGAGACCATGTTCTTGAAATGACATAAACACTGACGGACGACTTTAATATTCCCAGGGGAACACCTGGGAATTCCCTAGCACGAATACATACAGAAGCGCTGTGAACATTTAGACCCATTTACCTTGAAATCAGCGTTTTAGTATACATTGAGAAACGTCAGAGAGTTTGACAGCATGATCGTTCACGAATATCCTCGCTACGACCCATGCTAGTGAAGATGCCCCTGTGCCAAGTAGCTTCACAATATAATTATAATTATACAACAATGTCTAATACTGTGATATATGCTTCCCTACATTTTACAATCGACTCTGCTTTGTGCAGTGATTTCTATTGGATATGGAAAGGTTTTGTCGCTTTATTTTTATATTTCTAAGAAGCAATAACGATATATTTCCTATTAATTGGGAAATGTTTTGTGTCGATCCTAAGTGTCAAACATCCTTATAATATATATATATATATATATATATATATATATATATATATATACATATATATACATACATACATACATAGACAGACAGACAGACAGACAGGCAGACAGACAGAGTGCCTAAAATACAGATATGTATCTCCATAAAGCTTTGAGCAGTATGTTAAACAAAACTCCCTACAGGGATATACTTATTGACGATTAAGAGTCTTACCTTCTACTTTCAACCACATAAATTCGTGTTTCTTTGCTGAAGTTGGTGTTGGGTCAAACACTATCCGCAGTCTGTCCGTGTTTCCAATGACTAAACTGTTATAGACCAGTATTCCCGCTGTAAATGACGCCCATGTTGTAGTGTCTCCAGTCAGAGTCAAATTGGCTCTCACACCCTGTAGTGGGAGGAAGTAGTATTCAAGGACAGTCACATTCATGTCGCCCCCTGTGACGTCACACGTGCACGTGCCAGAACCTGAGATGGTGCCATGTGGATAATTGGGCGACGCAAGATAGAGGCTGTTGTCATTTTCTCTGGAGAGATGTGTCACGTTGTCGCAAACATCAACCGGGTCGTCTGAAAACACATTCACTTGAAACATTCACTTAGACAATCCTTCTGACAGAATTTTTTGTGTGCAAATTTAATATCATTTAAACTGACATATTAATCCCGCTTGATGCATCCCTTTGTACATCCTTTGGTATTTCATGGGTGTAAAATCATCTGTTGAAGCTTACATTGGCCGATTTAGCCTCACATGTTAGTGCAGCAATATGTGTACCATTTTGGATGAATCCAATTTCATGATGATATATTGAACATTCCTGTCTACATACCAGACACACATTCATAGGATATCACAGCGTGGTAGGTTGTTGTCTCTCCACACAATGTGTCCACCCAGAACTTCTGCACCTCCATCTGACACGTGGCCACCCCGTTACAGTCGTCTGTGTACAGACTGTCAGCCTGAGTCTCTTGAAGGAACACACAGCTGGCACCAGGTGGAGACTCGCAACTCGGGGTCATGTTCTGGTACTGTACACTGATCACATGGAGCATCTCCCCTGTCTCACACGTCAGATTCAGGGATGAAGAAGGAGAGCTTGTACAGATCTCCTCAGTTTTCGTGGTGAGATCTCAAAATATATTAATGTAGGTTCATGACTGGGCAACAATAACAGGTACTACATTATATTGGTAAAAAGTGTTTGTTTGTTGTTTAACGCAGCACTCAGCAATATTGCAGCTGTATGAAGGCGGTATGAGTGTATGTATGTATGTGTGTATGTGTGTGTGTGTGTGTGTGTGTGTGTGTGTGTGTGTGTGTGTGTGTGTGTGTGTGTGTGTGTGTTTGTGTATGTGTGTGCGCGTGTGTGTGCGTGTGTTTAAAGTTAAAACGAGGAAGGTATTACAAAAACAGACAGCAGAAAAGGGATAGTGTGTAATTCGCGAATGCAACATAACACTTGTCTAACAGAAATAATAAATGACACGATCCAGTACACCGCCTACATTAGCAGGAACACGTTAAGACTATCACCAAGACTACAGGAAAGCCACAATCAACAACCAAACCCGACCCACGAGGCACAGCTTTCATTGAAAGAAAAAAGAAGTCGAAATGCATAGTAACCACCTCTTTACCATGCTCATATTAAAGCCCCTATATACCAGCACGATCTATGTATATTTGGAACTGTATGCACAGGGTTGGGCTAGGACCAAGTAGTCGTAATTTTAATGTGCACTTTTAGTATATGCTGAAGCATTTTAGCAGAAAATCAATATCTTATTTTAAAAATGCATATGCAGCTGATTGTCTATTTCGCTGAATAAACGTGTGCCAGGTCACATGGTTCAGGATGACGGAAGAATTTGGGATGAGGCTTCACAGTAGAGCTGTTTCCAGTCCAAATACATAATAGAAATCGCAAATCACAAGTTAGAAACCAAATTCTTTCCAAAACCGTTCTGAAGAGCACCGAAGAGCAACACCTTTACCATAAACCACATCAGATAACTGACAAAGTGAAATATTAGTGAGTATTATTTCACTGGGGACATAAATTTGATATTAAATTGAAGCACCTGTAAATATTCTATAATACTGTTCCAAAAGTCGTACGCACACCACACTCGCTGACCCTTGGGTGAAGATACACGAAACTCACCCAGTGACACAGGGAGGACACGTCGAACTCACCCAGTAATATAGGGAGTACCTATACAACTCACGGAGTGACACAAGAAGGACATATGAAACTCACCCAGTGACACAGGGGGGACACGTCGAACTCACCCAGTAATATAGGGAGTACCTATACAACTCACGGAGTGACACAGGAAGGACATATGAAACTCACCCAGTGACACAGGAAGAACACATGAAACTCACCCACAGGGACGACATATGCCACGACTGCAAGACATATCCAGGTTGACATCGCCGCTGTCTCAGACTGTTTCCAAGTCTCACGAAGCAAGCACTGTTTTAGATATAACTCACAAGTGTTGATATTAGAGAGAGTCATGGAGGGTACGGGATGTGGAAGAAATAACCCGCTGTCACACGCTGTGTGTATTCGTCCTACCCCAGGCTGTCGGCGGCTGGGCCTGCTTTTACAGATAATCACAACACACACAACACTATACCTGGCGAGTCATGACTGACTACTGAGTACTGGTTGGTACAGTGCTGATTGTCACTGGTGGCTGGACTTGCCTTCAGCAGATTTCTCATTCCTGACCAAAGGCGAATGAGTGAACACACTGCACAGTGAGTGTACACACATGCGCCATTCGCGTTACTGACACGCATCACTGCATCTGACGCTGTTGAACAACCATCTGCCTTCTATTTCTAGCCTTGACATGACACCCTTGGTTACACAACGCTGTGGTAGATGACTAGGATCGCTATCTAAGGCGGGACTGTATACAAATAAACGACAAACACATTTCCATAATATTCATTCGCTTAACAGGAGAAAACTGCTTGACGAGCGCCAGCTACCCTGAGGGAAACTACGGAGGGAACCAGCTACTAGTTGGTTCGATTAGTGTTTCGCCCCTGTACCCAAGTTCTACTGTCGAATCAAACAAAGTTCCGTTGTAAGGGTCCGACTATATCATAAGCATATATTTATGAATCACTATCATCTAGTTATGACACCGATAGTATACGAAATGGTATTCTGACCCACCGATGGCGTCCGCACAAACACATGCAACGGCAAATCAAGTGATTACCTGACTAAAGCACAAGGACAAGTCATGAGTCATCGATGCGTGAAATCTCGATGTATCCTCCACATGTGTATTATGAAACGTGTTGAATGCTGTGCTGAGGCCTTGAATCCGCAGTCTGTCCGTGTTTCCCATGACTAAACTGTTATAGACCAGTATTCCCGCTGTAAATGACGCCCATGTTGTAGTGTCTCCAGTCAGAGTCAAATTGGCTCTCACACCCTGTAGTGGGAGGAAGTAGTATTCAAGGACAGTCACATTCATGTCGCCCCCTGTGACGTCACACGTGCACGTGCCAGAACCTGAGATGGTGCCATGTGGATAATTGGGCGACGCAAGATAGAGGCTGTTGTCATTCTCTCTGGAGAGATGTGTCACGTTGTCGCAAACATCAACCGGGTCGTCTGAAAACACATTCACTTGAAACATTCACTTAGACAATCCTTCTGACAGAATTTTTTGTGTGCAAATTTAATATCATTTAAACTGACATATTAATCCCGCTTGATGCATCCCTTTGTACATCCTTTGGTATTTCATGGGTGTAAAATCATCTGTTGAAGCTTACATTGGCCGATTTAGCCTCACATGTTAGTGCAGCAATATGTGTACCATTTTGGATGAATCCAATTTCATGATGATATATTGAACATTCCTGTCTACATACCAGACACACATTCATAGGATATCACAGCGTGGTAGGTTGTTGTCTCTCCACACAATGTGTCCACCCAGAACTTCTGCACCTCCATCTGACACGTGGCCACCCCGTTACAGTCGTCTGTGTACAGACTGTCAGCCTGAGTCTCTTGAAGGAACACACAGCTGGCACCAGGTGGAGACTCGCAACTCGGGGTCATGTTCTGGTACTGTACACTGATCACATGGAGCATCTCCCCTGTCTCACACGTCAGATTCAGGGATGAAGAAGGAGAGCTTGTACAGATCTCCTCAGTTTTCGTGGTGAGATCTCAAAATATATTAATGTAGGTTCATGACTGGGCAACAATAACAGGTACTACATTATATTGGTAAAAAGTGTTTGTTTGTTGTTTAACGCAGCACTCAGCAATATTGCAGCTGTATGAAGGCGGTATGAGTGTATGTATGTATGTGTGTATGTGTGTGTGTGTGTGTGTGTGTGTGTGTGTGTGTGTGTGTGTGTGTGTGTGTGTGTGTGTGTGTTTGTGTATGTGTGTGCGCGTGTGTGTGCGTGTGTTTAAAGTTAAAACGAGGAAGGTATTACAAAAACAGACAGCAGAAAAGGGATAGTGTGTAATTCGCGAATGCAACATAACACTTGTCTAACAGAAATAATAAATGACACGATCCAGTACACCGCCTACATTAGCAGGAACACGTTAAGACTATCACCAAGACTACAGGAAAGCCACAATCAACAACCAAACCCGACCCACGAGGCACAGCTTTCATTGAAAGAAAAAAGAAGTCGAAATGCATAGTAACCACCTCTTTACCATGCTCATATTAAAGCCCCTATATACCAGCACGATCTATGTATATTTGGAACTGTATGCACAGGGTTGGGCTAGGACCAAGTAGTCGTAATTTTAATGTGCACTTTTAGTATATGCTGAAGCATTTTAGCAGAAAATCAATATCTTATTTTAAAAATGCATATGCAGCTGATTGTCTATTTCGCTGAATAAACGTGTGCCAGGTCACATGGTTCAGGATGACGGAAGAATTTGGGATGAGGCTTCACAGTAGAGCTGTTTCCAGTCCAAATACATAATAGAAATCGCAAATCACAAGTTAGAAACCAAATTCTTTCCAAAACCGTTCTGAAGAGCACCGAAGAGCAACACCTTTACCATAAACCACATCAGATAACTGACAAAGTGAAATATTAGTGAGTATTATTTCACTGGGGACATAAATTTGATATTAAATTGAAGCACCTGTAAATATTCTATAATACTGTTCCAAAAGTCGTACGCACACCACACTCGCTGACCCTTGGGTGAAGATACACGAAACTCACCCAGTGACACAGGGAGGACACGTCGAACTCACCCAGTAATATAGGGAGTACCTATACAACTCACGGAGTGACACAAGAAGGACATATGAAACTCACCCAGTGACACAGGGGGGACACGTCGAACTCACCCAGTAATATAGGGAGTACCTATACAACTCACGGAGTGACACAGGAAGGACATATGAAACTCACCCAGTGACACAGGAAGAACACATGAAACTCACCCACAGGGACGACACATGCCACGACTGCAAGACATCCAGGTTGACATCGCCGCTGTCTCAGACTGTTTCCAAGTCTCACGAAGCAAGCACTGTTTTAGATATAACTCACAAGTGTTGATATTAGAGAGAGTCATGGAGGGTACGGGATGTGGAAGAAATAACCCGCTGTCACACGCTGTGTGTATTCGTCCTACCCCAGGCTGTCGGCGGCTGGGCCTGCTTTTACAGATAATCACAACACACACAACACTATACCTGGCGAGTCATGACTGACTACTGAGTACTGGTTGGTACAGTGCTGATTGTCACTGGTGGCTGGACTTGCCTTCAGCAGATTTCTCATTCCTGACCAAAGGCGAATGAGTGAACACACTGCACAGTGAGTGTACACACATGCGCCATTCGCGTTACTGACACGCATCACTGCATCTGACGCTGTTGAACAACCATCTGCCTTCTATTTCTAGCCTTGACATGACACCCTTGGTTACACAACGCTGTGGTAGATGACTAGGATCGCTATCTAAGGCGGGACTGTATACAAATAAACGACAAACACATTTCCATAATATTCATTCGCTTAACAGGAGAAAACTGCTTGACGAGCGCCAGCTACCCTGAGGGAAACTACGGAGGGAACCAGCTACTAGTTGGTTCGATTAGTGTTTCGCCCCTATACCCAAGTTCTACTGTCGAATCAAACAAAGTTCCGTTGTAAGGGTCCGACTATATCATAAGCATATATTTATGAATCACTATCATCTAGTTATGACACCGATAGTATACGAAATGGTATTCTGACCCACCGATGGCGTCCGCACAAACACATGCAACGGCAAATCAAGTGATTACCTGACTAAAGCACAAGGACAAGTCATGAGTCATCGATGCGTGAAATCTCGATGTATCCTCCACATGTGTATTATGAAACGTGTTGAATGCTGTGCTGAGGCCTTGAATCAAACAATACATCGCTGAGGTTCATAACCCGATTTAGAAGTTATATGAGTCATTTTCAAAAGATGTCACTATTTTTTGTCCAAACCCATTACAAAATTAAAAATATATATATTGACATTGCAATTAGTACAGATTATCTCCTGGTATAATAAAACGGTTATTTTCAATCATCGTGTCATATTATGTGTTTTTGGTGCGTTTTAAATGGGTAGAAAGTGCATGTTTGGCTGTTTAAGCTTCAAATTTGAGAAACTATCATTTTATAAATATTGGCATATATATAATATTACTGTGGTTATCTTATCAAAACTAGATTCATTTAGGAGTTTGAGTGTGTATTTTCAATCTAACTGACATAATTCCTGAATAATAATTATATATAACATCCTTAGATTTTGTGTCTTTCCTGTAATATGTACTTAATAAAACTTTGGAATAATCAATGATCCCCAATGCAAGGATATCAGTACTTTCTGTCATGCCTAGTACCATTTCCTATACAATAGGAGTGTGATGTGCCATGTGCACCAGCAGACAAATAAGAATAGAATTTAATATGGCAGTGTTCATGAAGTACCCAGTAGCTTATGGGTATTTTTTTATTTTAAACTTTAACAAGTTTTAGAATACGACTTTTGGAGAAAAACATCTCTTCACTGCACTAAAATTCAACTCTCCACGCTTCTTTATTTTCGGAAAAGGTCTAATAATAATCTTGATCTGTTGATGTTATAGCAAAGACAAACACTCAAGTATGATAATATATAGATTTCATTACATCATCAACATAATTTGAAATTCACTAATGCTGATTTCATGAAGGTTTACTGAAAAATAGCAATGTGTGCTTGACTGGAATACAAAGCAACTCCAAAGTTGAATTGCAGAGTGGAACTGTACAACTAAATTAACCAATGCAATGACAAATGGTGAACTGTATCCTTGTACTGTGTTGTCAAATGGTAACTGATTGCCATCATGCGGCAGTGTGCATTGCTTTTGGGACAATTGACAGAGCAGCAGAAATGAGACAGAGAGTAGTCTCTGAACTTGTTGCCAATTAAGCAAAAGATCTTGATGGAAATTTCCCGTCTCAAGGCTTAAAGGAAGGGTGTCAGTGTAAAGAGACATAACTTGCCACGTCATTATGCTCAGTATTCTGACATATATGTTCCAGGAACTGGTCTCACAGACAACATACTCCAAAGCATATTTCGACTCCAAACCCTCAAAGTGAAGAGGGACAAGTCTTTTATGGGAATCTGGCAAATTCACACTTTGGTCAATGTTTTGAACAGACCACTGTACACGATCTACCTGCAACGTGGTTAGTGAAGGAGAGAAGGTGACGGCTGAAGATGAGGAGGCTAGTGAAGGAGAAAAGGTGACGGCTGAAGATGAGGAGGGTAGTGATGGAGAGAAGGTGAAGGCTGAAGATGAGGAGACTAGTGATGGAGAGAAGGTGAAGGCTGAAGATGAGGAGACTAGTGATGGAGAGAAGGTGAAGGCTGAAGATGAGGAGACTAGTGATGGAGAGAAGGTGAAGGCTGAAGATGAGGAGGCTAGTGATAGAGAGAAGGTGAAGGCTGAAGATGAGGTGGCTAGTGATAGAGAGTAGGTGAAGGCTGAAGATGAGGAGGCTAGTGATAGAGAGAAGGTGAAGGCTGAAGATGAGGAGACTAGTGATAGAGAGAAGGTGAAGGCTGAAGATGAGGAGGCTAGTGATAGAGAGAAGGTGAAGGCTGAAGATGAGGAGGCTAGTGATAGAGAGAAGGTGAAGGCTGAAGATGAGGAGGCTAGTGATGGAGAGAAGGTGAAGGCTGAAGATGAGGAGGCTAGTGATAGAGAGAAGGTGAAGGCTGAAGATGAGGAGGCTAGTGATAGAGAGTAGGTGAAGGCTGAAGATGAGGAGGCTAGTGATAGAGAGAAGGTGAAGACTGAAGATGAGGAGGCTAGTGATAGAGAGAAGGTGAAGGCTGAAGATGAGGTGGCTAGTGATAGAGAGTAGGTGAAGGCTGAAGATGAGGTGGCTAGTGATAGAGAGAAGGTGAAGGCTGAAGATGAGGAGGCTAGGGAAGGAGAGAAGGTGAAAGCTGAAGATGAGGAGGCTAGTGATGGAGAGAAGGTGAAGGCTGAAGATGAGGAGGCTAGGGAAGGAGAGAAGGTGCAGGCTGAAGATGAGGCTAGTGATGGAGAGAAGGTGAAGGCTGAAGATGAGGGGGCTAGTGATGGAGACAATCATCCCAAAATATACAGAAGACTCCAGAATCATCTCATTGTGAGGTTGACAATAACATTAGGTCTACAGTTAAAAGTCATTATGACGGGGTATAATGTCTTGGGAAGACAGCTATAATCTTTCAACTTTTAGATGGCTTGATGTTTCAAGTCTTGCATTCTAGGTTGTAGTTTAGATTCTTACTAGCAGTTGAAAGTTGTGTTTTTCTAATTGTAGGTCATGTGTTTTCTGACATTTTCTGAATTGTTCATTCTACAAGTTGACCATGTCTTCATTGTTTCAAGTATACCACGATTCTTTTACCAAATACTTTCAGTGTTTCACAATATAAGAAAAATTAATACTCAACCTCAAAAACTTTGGATTTGATTGTTGATCACAGAAACCACAAAATGACATGGAAACTATTCTCTAAATGTCTTTCATGTAACAAAATGTTGTCTTCACAATAACTGTCTTCTAACATCAATCTGGAGATTTCGCAATGAGATGAAAATATAACTACACTTAGTGGTACCCCTGTTTGGTAAACCTTTGTTTACTTGTGATAGTTAACTTACTAGGCTGACTATAACTTTGTTTCACATTGTCAGTACTGTAACATCTTAAGTCATTCCTGTAACAGTTATAATGTAGGTCATAGGTAACATTCTTCATATTAATCATGAAGTTTCCACAATGAGACATAAGTTGATCATAGTTTATCTTTGTTTATCAAATAAAAACCTCCAAGAAATTTTGATAATTTAGAAATCATGATATTTATGTTGAAGGGGTAACAGTCTTTCATAGAATTGACACTGAGTACATATGGGTCATTAAGAGACTACATACATGCCAAGTACATACAAGTTTAATATGCAAAATTATATAGAAATAAATATGTTTTGTATGCGCTTTTTGCATTTTCATGAATTTCCAACCAAAATAATTCACACAAACATTGTTATTGGAAAGTTTCATACCAAGTTTCAGTTGCCATGGTAACTGGTTATTCCTCTTTCATAAAAGCATAATTAAGACTCCATTTGATGTTACTGACAGCTGCAGATATTTGTTACTCCATTTAAACAAAAAAAGAGATGTTATATCAACCAATTGATTTTGTAATGTTGGAAACTCAAAAGTGACATCTTTTGAAAATGACTCATATAGTCATGATTAAGTCAATGATCATGATCAAAAGTAATCTTCCATTCTGACAATCATGCAGTAGGTATGGTTTTGCTTCACATGTTTGTTGATACCTTTAACTCAATTTAATTATTAGAGTTAGACAAACCCTTGCAGCCATTGTCTCTCGCTTTCATTTCCATCAGTTAAGGCGGCTGACAGTAGGTCGGATTCTGCAGGAACTGTCATCCGGGATTCAGATTTTGTTTTGTTTAAACCTATTATATTCAGATTGAAATGGACTCACTCTCCATGGTATTTACAGTGTATAGATAACAAAAGAAATGTACAAAAATGAGACTGGTATATTTACATTTAAGTGTTACCCAAATCTCTTTGTATGACTTATAAACATTTGCACTGCCTTAAAGATATGTTGGTTTTCGATAATGGACAAACATTTAACATCAAACTTAAATCTAATTTAACATTTTTTTCACGGAATTCTGTAAAATGTTCCGAATTATTATTAACGTAGATTTTCTTTGGTTGACATACAATGGACACTCTAACAAATAATGAAATGCATTACCGCATTGATCACATTTTATCTCTATTCTGTATACATCTTAATTTAACTGGCTTTTCATGTATCTTAATCGAGTATGATAAATATTCAACTTTCTAACACCATAGGAAAAATATGGAGGTGCAATAACTTGCTCTTTTTGTATGTCTGTCTTGAATTTGGATGTAGATGTACAATGTCTAC